ATTGATTGATTGCCCAGTTATTGTGCGGGGATTAAGTCCCAAAAAGACGCCTTGCCTTCCCTCGGTGGTGGTTTCCCCCATTGTGTTTGTCTGCGTGAGTTTTCCGTGTTCCAAGGAGCCGGAGATGGCCACGTGATCCAGACACACGCGTGTGTGGCCACCGCCCTAAGCGAAAGCGTGAAATCCAATTTGAAACTTTTGTATTTAGTATTTTAAGTTTTTCACAGTCAAGTACATATGATGGATTATGTTTTGAAAAGGGCATTTGGCAATGGTTTGTTAATTAAGGGGGTTTGTCATCTATTTATGTGAAAAATTGATAGGGATATATTAATTTAAAGAGTTTTGTCACATTTCTTATTTTTACAAAATTTATATTATTTATTTATTTTTCTATAAATTTGATATTTAGGAGGAAAGAAATCAAAGAAAAGAGAAAGAAATCGAAATTTATCGATTCTGAATTGATATTTATCGCTTAGGCAGATGTTTTAACGTTGCGATATATGAGCCATTAATCGATATTCTGCTTAATATGTCGAACTATACTAATCAAGAGCCGAAACTTAGTTTAAACTATCACTTAAGGAATGCATAAAAACAAAGTTAAGAATTTAGATCTTGTAAATATTGGTAAAAAATATAATACATTTTTTCAATATTTTTCGATAATATCGATAACATTGATATTTTAACTATGAATGCAATTTTTTCTTCTTTTTTCTATTTTCCTTTTCTCTACAATTTTCCCTCTTAATTCACTCAAAAACCCGTGACTCACACTGCCATCTCTGTGAGAGCCGCTAAAGGATGTCGATAGATGAAATAAAAAGCAGAAAGCAAAATTCATAAAACATAAAGCATATACCGGCATCATCAACACGAGCATAACGCATAAGGTGACTCAACCTGAACCGGCTGTGGCTGTCGCCTGATTGACTGACTGACTGACTGAGCGACTGAGTGATTGAATGAGGGATTGACTGATGGACAGACCCAACTGAACAGATGGACATGCATTGTGTTTGAGGCACTTTTCTTACACTTGCATTAATTTTCCGCGTTGTGGAAACCAAGGAAAAACTATGTGATGTGAGTGATGGAACGAATTTGCATTCGACATTTGATGCGTTCACAATCGGAGATGGAAACAAAAGCCGCAGAGCAGCACAGTTTTAAAATCAATATGGAGAAATTCTTTAGCCATTAGCATAAACAATTTATTCGATCGACAACAACAGCAGCCTTTCAGCAATGAACTTTATTTGTTTTTAAGGGAAAACCGCCATCGGAGTGTGTGTCCGATAAATATACTAATTGTTTATTTCATTTGAGGCGTTTTTTGTTCAATATTTACAAGCCAAGAAACCATAAATAAGACAACTTATATTCCTTTGGCCAAATGGATTCATATTTATTTATATATATATATGGGAAGGGAGGGGAGGGAAAGATTTGAATTTTAAATTGAAATTTTTATGGCACTTGGAAATTAAGTAGTCACAGAACCACACACATGCACACAATCTGAATCAGAATCAGATCAAATCCCATTCCAGATGGTGAAAATGAGCTATAGAAGAAGTTCCCTTAGACCTTCTTCTCCTCCTTCTACCCCATCCTAACCCACAAAGATACTCCTCTCACATATGTAGCTTTTGTGAGCATTAAAAATAAATTCAAATAATTGCCATTTCAATAGACAGCCAATGAAGAGGGGGTGGTGGCGGTGGCGGTGGTGCCTGGCAGCTGACAAAGCTCTAAAAGTGCTTCGAACATTCGGTATTCCAGATTAACTGAATTGTACGAAGAGCTGACAATGTTTGGCAATAAATGGAAAGTTTATTACAGGAACAAGATAAAGATTTAATGGAGGAAAAAAAAAGAAAAAAATATGTGTGTTTCAATGAAAGATACAAAATGTATCTATTATGAAAGAATAAGTATGGATGTTTAGAGGTTATAAGAGGTTAAGGTTAGTTTTCAAAAGTTATTGCCCTCTTTTTTAATTATTCTCTCTTTAAAAAATAGATATTAAGTGGAAAATCAATTAGAAACTACATATTTTGAACAAGAAAATATTACAAAATTTATTTATTCTTCCTTAGTTTCCTTAGTTTGATAACTATAATTAAATAACCAATATACAATATATAATACAAACAAAACATTACATCTATTATAAATTCCTTGTAAATACCACATTCCTTTTTGAAAACTGTCACTTTAATTATTCTCATTTACAAATTACCATTCATTTTAGTAGCCCATAAACCATTTTCCTATATATATTCCTTTTCTGTTTGATATATTCCCTGAGCAAAGCAGCTTTTGCATTTTCATCATCTCAAAAATGAAGAAAAGAAGCCTTATATTTGGCATCGAATTAATAAGGAGATTTTCAGTATGGAAGAACATGTTCCAAATGTGTGTAAATATTCCTCATTACAGCCACTTTTTGGCCAATTATGATTATGGCCAGATATACATATGTATATGAATATATATTCCACGATTATCGGCCACGAGTCTTGGAAGCATGTGTTTGTAAGAGTGGCAATTAATAAAAACAAATGTGGTTGTTTCATCTCGACACACACACACTCCTCTACTCTTGTGAGTGGAAACATATCGTCCAACATTCTCGCCCGACTTTTCAATGGAAAATAGGGAAGAAAAGAGGAAAAAGGAAAATAAGAAGTGCACGGAGGGCAGAAAATATCGAAAAATACGAATATGATTTGTGTAAAAGTTTCGACGCTCGCTTTTGGCTGTGATTAAGCACTCGAAAAAGTGTAATTGCAGCGATATATATGTACAAATATGTGTATATGTGGGCACTTAAAAATAGCAGCCCCCGACTAAGACCATAACTAAAGCCCATATGGATCTGAACGATCTCAGAAGCAGCAGCAGCAGCAGCAGCAGCAGCAGCAGCTGGCGGTGAATATTCCGAATACAACGACCACAACGACGACGACGACCACGACGACTGCTTATAGTCAATTTTTGAATTATTGTGAATCGTTTTTCGCTTTCGTTGTTCTCTAATTATAACAACATCATAATCATAATCGCAATCATAATTTCATATTTGGCTGACTCTTCGCATTTTGTGGCGTTCTTAATGTGCCAAAAGTTTATTTGTATCCCCGCCAAGCACACGAACATGCACAGATACAGATACAAATGTATCTCACATATGGCATAGCATTTTCTTTTCGATATTTCTCAAACACCACCATAACATTTTTGCTTCATTTTTCTTTTCAAATCTTGCATTTATTGCGATTAATTTGAAAAATGAAAAATTCGGTATAATTTGAGAAATGCGTTTGCGAAAAATTGTTGACAGTAGAGAGTATAGAGGAAAAAGGGCATATACTCTCCCGGATTTTGCCTTTCGAACTAATATAGTTTGGTGATATAATGGTTTCTCTTATCGTTATTTTATTTTATTTTAGACTTCCTCTAGAAATAGGGTACTTTTTTTTTGTACAAGTTAGGCATAGAGAGTGATTAGACTTAAAATGCTTTAAAATTAAGATAACATTCCCGGAAGATATATCCGGTATTTAAAATTTGGTTTGAATTGTGAGTAGCTTGTTAATAAAACATTCCTTAGTTATAATTAAAGGGTTCTTATTAGTAAGTTCCAAAATATACTTCTTTTCTAATGAGTTTTACATTTCTTAGAACCTTTATCAGGCAAGACCTTCATTCATATTTTTTTCCCCCTTATTTTATGCTTTAGTATTTATCAATAAATATATTTCCTGTTATTCCCTGTTTGCTAATCTCAAATCCCAGTTAGAGTCTCCCAGGAATAAGTGTACAGATCCCCAGGGATAATAAAATATGCGCTTTTGCGATAAACCCACTTAAGCTTGAAGAGAATCTTTGATTAAGACACAAAATTCGCTGAAACCAACTTATACATATATATTATATATATATTTATATTTGGCCAGATTCTCCAGTTTGGAAACGGAAGTTAGCTACGTCAATCGTAGTTCCTCGCTTTGGCTTAATTATATTATTGTTCATATATTGCTTTATGGCAGGCCCAGAGCAAATAAATCGCAAAATCGCACAAATCAGAGCCGCCTTTTATGGGTGCAGCGCAAATGTTTAGCGCTTAAGTTAAGCGAATCAGCCAGCGCCGGAAATTATAGAAATTACCGATGCCAATATTATTGAGCAGAAATTAATATGCAAGCGAAGAGAGATTAAGCTAAATTTATATGTACGTCGCAGCGTCGAGTGCGTGCCAAATAAAAAGTATATTCGCTATTCTAAATCGGAATACAAGTATGTAGAATACATATATATCTCTCCATTGCTATATCTCATTTTATTTGCAATCTAACCCATACATATATGTATATATTGGCACTAAAAAGATACCAAGACAAGACCTAATGACTAAGACTAAGGAGTGTCAGCCGCAAGTCGCACAAACTTGGCTAATAAAGTAGAAATTAGTGAGACGGTAGGGTAAGCTGATTCATATCGCTTATGAAAAATACTATTACGTTTTCTGGCCACACAAATATTACAGATTTTTTTAACAGCTTATCGCGGCTAGATATTTGTGTGTTATTTACCTACTAATGAATTAGTCAGTCAGAAAAATCAGTGATAATTGGAGGGGTCTTACTTGAAAATAGAGAGTGATTATTGTGGGAATATGCAGATATGTTTTCTATTGACTTCTTTGATTTCTGCGTTATCGGTAAAGTGTATTTTTGTTAACTATCAACTTGAGTGGGTAAACCTCCATTAGTTAGACATGTTAATTGTATTTTTTTATGATTTCTTAACTAAAGTTGGCTGAAATCCAATAACTAAATCAATTCTTTATACAAAAACTCCCACGCTTTTGCCGAGTTTTCTTATCTTTTCCACACAAAACTATTTAAAACCCCTTTTAAGTAACTACAAATAATTTCAGAACTTGATTTCAGATTTCATTTATATTTTTTAAGCTGAATATTTACCATTTTGATTGTCTGTTTTGCTGCGTGTTTGTTTTTCTAAAAAGTATCCTTCCTGTGGAAAGTTGTCTCTTTTGTTTTGTTGATAATCCGCAAAAGGCAAAAGTTCTAAAAGTTGTTTATGTTTGTTTTTTAGTTTGTTTTCTTGGCAAGTTTCCTGCACATAATAATTCACATTGGTTTTTTATTTTATTTTTTTTTTGTTCACTCAAAACACGCACACACTTTTTATAGTATATTAAAATCCAATATTAGGGCTTTCATTGGGAATATATAGAGTAGTATAAACGCAGAAGGAAATCCGAAAAACGCTGGAATTCTATTTATTTATTATTTGTATTTTATTTGTGTTTGCCGCTGCTCGCGTTCGCACTGCTGCACGTTTAGTTACTGACTAAGGGCGGGCAATTCAAAATTTTTTTAAATTCATCGGCCGGCGGCGTCTGCGTCGTCGTCAGCGTCGACGTCGGCTGCGGCAAACACACAACAAAAACCAAAAACTAATAAAATCAATTACAAACGCACACACACACTGACGCTCGCCGAAAGATAGCGGAGCCGAAGAACTGCCGAAGGCGCTCTTCGTGCTCGTGCTCGGCTTCGTATGAGTTATGAGAGAGCAATTCAAGTGCTTGCCTCTCTTCGGGGTTTCCCTATATGTGTGTGTGTGTGTGCGGTTGAATGTGGGCCAAAAGTAATGACAATTGAAATGTGGCTCTCTCTCGCTGTCTCTCGCTCACTCTCTTGGAAATGAGTGGGTGTTTGCACCAGGCTTGTGTGCCTGTGTGCGTGCTGCCAAATGAGCCAAGCAAAACAAAAAGGCAAAAATGCGGCTACAACAATAGCAACAACAGCAACAGTGCGGTTCTGCTCAAAAAATAAAATCAAATAAAAGAATTCAGAATTATTTGCCAGCCCAGCAAAAGACTCTTGGAAATGTAATTTCTTATTCCTGAAAACTTATGGAAAAAAGGAAAAAGGATAAGTCTATGGAATAGCATAATATTCGGTGTTGCCAGGACATTTTACGTTTTATTTCTTCGTTAACTTATTTACTACATAAATTGCAGAAAAATGTAGGAGGGTTTATATAAATGTTTTTGTACTTTTCCGATTACTACTTTGTATTTGTTTTGACTTTATTTTTAATTTTTGAGTCTTATAGAAACCTATTTAAAATCTGGTTAAATCCTGATAAAAATCAGGCTTATGTATATCTAAGAGGATCAAGCTGTAGATGCGTATTTATCTGAGGTATTTATAAATAAATCCAAAAAGTTTTTATGTCCCCTAAGAAGGTGTCAAAAACTAGGCTATAAAATCGGAAATAAAAAAGCGCAATATGGCCGTAAAAAATTTTATTGCATACTTTCGGACACATTCTAAGGAGATTTTAAGACCCATAAGATATCTGAAGCACCTCCATGTATTTAAAATAATTTATAAATTTGACAATTAATAATTTTTAGGAATCTCAGATATACTTTATATATTTTCCCTCAAAACTGAGTATTAGTCTTCTTTGTCTGAAAAAAAAATCCTCAAGGATGCTGCAGCTGCATGGGCATAATTTTTGGGTGTTCCCAGCGAACCTCCCCCTTTCGCTTATTTTACTTATTTTTTATTTCGTCCGCTTATTGCTCAAATTTCACAGCAAACGAATGAATCGAAACGAAATGAAACGCAACGATATAAAACGAACCCTCATGTCAACGACCGTTATTACAGTTGCCATCATCATCATTGCAGGACCAACCCGACCCGTTCCGACCCAAACCGAACTGAACCGTCAGTAATTACACAGAAAAGTTCCATATCGCATATACATAAGCCGCAGGAGCAGCGCATAAATCGCAATTAATCAAGTGCAAGCCAATGCCGCTAAAACTCCCCAACTCTCGCACCCTGGAACACTCGTGGAACTGGGAAATAGCAATAGCAACCCTCCTAAAAACCTAAACCCTAAAAGCAAACCCAAACCCAAGCCCAAACCCAATTTCAATTCCAATCCAAATCCCAACAAGTTCAAAAACTCGTCTCCTCTCGCTCGCTTCCTCAGCTGGCAATTACCATCGGGCAACCCATCCTGCTTGCTCTTAGTGAGCCAGCAGCAAGCGGCTGCTACTAAAAATGTAATCATTATGCTTTATCGTGATAATCAGCAAAGGCAGCAGCTATAGCTATAGCAGCAGCAGCAGTCGCACTGGAAATCGCAGTTAGGAGCAAAGTTTTTATACCCGTTATGAAAAAAGGGTGTCACCGGGTATATTCCATATTTTGTATCCATTTCGAGAGAGTGACAGAAGCCAAACGGATTATGCGGGAAAGGTGAAGAGAGATAGTTGAGATAATGGTTTAAAATGTGAATATTTTTAATTATCTAAGGGTTCTTTGGAATGATGGAAAAGATACATTTCTTTCAGGATCAAACGCTTTATATTTAATTATAGTTTTTTTCAGATCTTTTGGTTTGTGTTGTTATAAAACCCCGAGGACCTAGGGCTTCCAAGGTTTTCTGATTCTTTTTCTATAAATTTTAAGGAATTTTCTCAACTGCTTTCTTCCCCAAGACAAGGTCACACAAAAACTCTTTTTTTCCCATATTAATGGGTATCAATGAGCTTGCTAAATTGATGGCTCCCTCGTCCTTTCTACCACTTGTTTTCCCAGGACGAAATCACAGCTAGTATATAACAAAGGAAAAACCCCAACGCAAATAACCATTCGTACTAGCCGGTGGCCGAGGGGAGTTAGAGAGGTAGAGTTCAGGCATATCCAACTGGCAAACAAACAAACTAAATTACAACAATTCCAAAAATTTATAATTGTGCTCGGCTAACACACACACACACAGGAGGAACCACCACCCAAGTCACCACCCCATGATAAACCCCCGACCATTCGTAATAATCATCATTGGCATCGGCATCATCATCATCTCTGGGTTTTTTGCCTTCTCGCCTTACAATTCGCCATGGAAGGGAAAGGGGGAGCGAGGAGCGAGAACTAACAAAAACAAAAGCAAAAACAAAAAGCAAAGGCAATGGCAATGGCACACACAGCACACACAAAAAAAGGCAGTTAAGTTAAAATGTACTTAGAGTTTAAGCGTAACCCCGAAATCCCAACCGAACCCGAAACGAGATTGTGTGTTTTAAGCGTTTTAGTTACAGCCCAAGCCACCCTTCTCGCTCTAGCTTACCCAGATTCCCCTTCTTGTAACTTCTCATCCTTCTCCTTTTGGCCACCACCACCTCAACCCCCTTTTTGCTTTCTTTGCCAGCCTGCTGCTGCTCGCTCTTTTGTTGCTGCAAAGTCAGCCATCTTGTGCGGCGTTATTAAATTTTATACAAATACTAAAAATGAAATCAAAATTTTCTTATTACAATGACTATTTTGAGACCATCCCCTGGCTACGTACTTCGTGTCCTTCTGCCTTCGCCGCCTGCTGTCCTTTTCTTTGCTTTTCTTTTCTGTTCTCGGCTCTCTTATCCAACTTCTGCTTCTTCTCCAACAGCTGTGCTTTGAGTTGATTCGGCCTCCTTTGATGGAGAGGGAGAGAGAGGTACGTGGCAAGCTTTTGGCTCTACCCTAACTTTAAAGAGTTCTTCAACTAGGTGATGGAAAGAAAAGAGAAAAACCTCTGACATACTTGATATCTTCTTGAAAGGCACGTGAGACGTTGTGCTCTATATAAAACTTTCTTCTTCATGTCTTTATATTGTTTACAAATCCCTTTGATGTATTTTTTAAGCATCAATCTCTTTATAGAGCACTTAATAATTCGTTGTTCCTGAAAATTAAAACCAATTCCATAGCTCCAGCTCCTCCTTGCTCCTATTATAAGCACTTCCTTGGTGTGTGTGCGTTGTGTAGAAATGAAATCGTACTTATGCCACTACTTATCGACTGCATTCATTGTTGGCTCTACGTAAAAGTTTTCAGTTTTTGGCTGTTGACCCCACTGCCTCCCCTGCCCTGCCCACCGCCCATGCCTTGTCCACTATTATATTCACCCCCTTTAATTGTAGAAACTTTCCCTTGGCTTGGAAATCCTGTAAATGTCTAAAGGAAAAATCCATAAAAATCAATTAGAAAATTTTCGTTGCAGGACAAATACAAAATCCAGCAATGAAAATAAAAATAAAACTTCAAGGAGAAGTGGAAACCAAATCCAGAGTCAGTCAGCAGAAATATTTTACGACTTCCTGTGGGCAACTAAATAAATTTGAAAATTTTTGATTCTACCTTCACGAAAAGCAGATACCAAGGCTACCTGAGCGTACTTAAAATTTAAATTAAACACTGTCAAGGTTGTGGCCTAAACAAATCTTGTCCGATAAGCCAGAGAAAACATCGGGGGAAGAGAAAGAAAAATTCCAAAGATACGATAGGATACCAGGGAAGGACAAGTAGTGATGAATAATACCAATCACGTACTCGGACGGGCAGGGGACGGGGCTCACCTTCGTGGCCTAATCAAAAGAGTATTGTAAACTAAGCCAAAGACAAGACAAGACGGGAATTCCAATTCTGAAAGGATCGCCAAAGATCGTTCGTCAGGCAGCGAAGAACTCAGACTCAAAATGCGTAATCTCACACACCAAAAATGCTGCAGCGCACAAGAACAACAAATTAAGTGCCGGCACACACACACACACACTGCACATAAATACTTAAACTCACCTACACCACACCTTCGCAGGTCTATCTACATAAATCTATGAAATGAAAACATTTTTCATGCTTCAAAGATAGAGAGAAATGCACTGGGAAAATAAATATAAAACGTCATACAAATCATAAGAGATTACTGCACTGAAAAAGGAAGAAATCAGTATATAAAAAATTTCAAAATACTCGAATTTATTATATTTTAGCTCAGAAGATATAAATATCTATTATTTTTAATTAATTAGCTTAATTTTTACCATTATTTAAATATTTAAAATACATTATTTCTCTACTTAATTCAATATATTTTTATATTCCCATTTAACCAACAATTTCTCTCCGTGCAGAGTCACTGAGAGTGATCCATTGGGAGACAATTAGTCGAGCTGAGACAGGCTTCCATCTCGCATCTATAGACTGACGATGAAGAGTCCCTGTCCCTCCAAGAACCCCTCCCGAAACCCTTGGATATTCTGCGTTAAAAGGTCAAGCCGACTTCTTTGATATTGAAGAATTGATCTATAGTCCCTCTCCTGGCATCCCACTCGCACTCACTTTGTGCGTGCATTTTATACGCTTCGTTCTTAGTGCGATATTCCTTTTATTTCTTGGTTGTTGCTCCTCTCCTTCTTCTGCTTCGTTTTTAGTGAGTTGCTTCGTCAAAATGATTGATTTGTAGGTGATGAATTACAACAACATCGGGCATCGGGAGTATCCGAGAGAGGTATTCTAAGGT